GACTTCACTATATGTAGGTATTCCTGGATGGTTTGATTGCCCCGTTTCATTAGTGTTATTTCCTCTTTAAGTTACATTGCCCTGGTTTGAGATTTACTTGCATAGAGGGTGTTTAATTTTTTCCACGCTTCCTACGAAGTTTTCGCAAACGAAATGAGAGGGGTGATGGTCGTCGCAGTGGATGCTAGGATAGCACTTAGGATTAGTTTAACCTGCCTTACCTAGTGTGTTTTTTGAAGGGAGGATGAGGGTTGGTAAGTTTGATGGGGGCAAGGTTTTTCTCCAGTGACGTAGTCAAGGAGGTCGTACCCAGTTAGAAGAGCTTCAAATTGGGCATGCCACTGTGGGAAGGTTCAGGGAGTAAGTTTGTCATTGATTTGTGCTGAAACTCTGAGAGCAATCAAGGGAATATCTGTTAGGGATGAAGGATTTTGAGTGGGGTTAGATGAAATGGGGATCAAACTCTCGTGAGAGAATAGCAGCTCTGATACCATGATGGAAATTCAACAAGAGCAACTGATGGAAATTAGAGCAGTGTTTTATTTCTCTATAAAAATGACAGACTTTACAACCTACATTTTACAATGACTTGCGCATATTTAAATACAAAATCTCCGATCTCTATTCTAGGAAATTAGCTAACCTTTTGCATATATAAAAGTAGCAAGTTAATTCCATGGTTATACAAAAATAATATTTACAGAAAATTGATTGACTGTTACAGGCATGATTATTTGCTATCTGGCTAGTTTTTGCTCCTTGGCTTGATTAGTGGTGGCTGATTTTTCCTCCTTGGCTTGATTAGTGGAATCTTCCTTCATAAGTCATACTTCTAAAACACGAGATAATAAAATGTATCAAGATTCGTCACTCTTAGATAGTAAAAGATTATGATTCATATTTCATTCGATTAAGTCGATAACGAAATCCTTGACCAAGTTGTACTCATAAGTAAAAAATGAGTTTTTGACTTATATTGACTTAATAGTGGAGTGAAAGATATGATTGATAATCTGGATTGACACACTTCCATGTTCATAATTGATCGGATCATATTGACGAAGGGATTATAGTTTCACGGTAAACGAACGAGTTTGGTTTTATCATACCTTATGACATTTCTCGTCACATGTATTGCTCTGACACATTGTTAGATGTCAATTTGGGACGATAAGTGTGAATTGATAATAAATTGGGTGTTTTAATTTATTAATTTTGATTAAATCAAAATAATATTTCACATCGTTAGGCATCGTGATCGGGAACCTGATGGGTCGCACACAAAAGGATAACTGGAAGATTGTGATTTGTTAATTAATTAATTTAACAAGTGTAGGATAAAATAATTAATTGGGTTGATTATTTATAGGCCTGAATTGATTAATTGGATTAATTAATTCACGGACCAAATTTAATTAAATGTTGGATCGGGTCAGGCCAAACCCGTTCAGACTTATATAAATATGATTAGAGTTTTCAAAATTGTAGAGATTTTTCATTATTCTTGCTAGCACAAGAAAAGTCCTAATACTACAATTTTATTCTCTGTGTGGATCATCGTTGGAGGCTGGACAATTGGACAGTTGCGAAAAACAGATCCAAGTTGCTGGAACAAAGATAAGGCAAAGGAGTTTGTAGATCGTGAAAATGTATCACTTTTATCACAATTTCTATCAAACACAAAGGCGATTCCTGGCGGGAATTGAAATTTGTTTTAATTTTCGTTGCGCATGATAAGTAAATTCCCAATAGTGGTATCTGAGCCTGCTTTGTATTTGTTAGAGATTGTTTTGAATTTTTGAGCATAATCAAAAGTTGATTTTGTTCGTTACATTGTTTCTAGTAATTATGAAAGTTAATTTTCATATTCAAAATTTGATTTTGAAAAGAAAATAAATTTTTGGAATCTGATTTGAAGAAAAAAATGAGGGCGGCAGCGTGTCGCCGGCACGCTTCTGCGCTCACCACCGTCGCCAAGTGCAATGGCAGCCGTTGCTAGAACAGTAGTCGCTGCAACTGCAGCAGCCCGAGTGACGATAAATGCCGCTCTTGCAGCGGCCGCCGCCGCCTGAGAGGAGCGCCTCGCTCGCTATTAACGTAATACTCCGAAATTCTATGCTCGTTTAACTTGCTCATTTAATTTTTACGATAGCAATTTAACTTTTCAAAATTTCGTATGGCCAAAATTATTAATGGTTGCCAAATTCTGCATTGGTTGATTTATTAAAAGTTTTCCAAATAATTTGTTAATTAGGGGTTTGGGATAAATGTCCAATTTTGCACCTAATTACCAAGGTTAAGTATTTTTTTTTCTCTCTTTTTTTCTTTCCTTCCACTTGGCCGTGTATTGCATGTATCAAGCAGGCATGAGGTGTTTAATCAACGCATGAATTGTTTTAAATTAAGCATGAGGTGGTTAATGAATTGATAGGTGTTTGATTGAAGTAAGAAATGCATCCATGCAGCCCACGTAGAGAAAATGGTTGAAGAGTCACCTTTAATTAATCATTTTCTTACCTTTAAATAGAAATGTTGTTGCCATTATTTTCCCTTGCAAGAAAAAATAGATTTTCACTTGTATGAAAGGGCATTCAACGTGAGAAAAAAAA